GCAAAAAGTTTCAAATAAATATTTAAAATTCAATTTTGTTGAAAATATTTTGATTTAAACTTGATAGAGAGAAAAAGAGAGAGGAGAGAAATTCAAAATAATTAAGTTTATATTTTCTCATGATGAAAAGTTATTCTATTTGAGAGGCGGTTTGAAAAAAATCGGCTGTAAAAAATATTTCATCTATTAATCAAAATTCTTTTTAATTCATGTACGTGTGTTTATATGTATGTGCAAATATGTGTGTGTGCGTTTGTGTGTCTATATGAATGTTTGTGTGCGTGTGTGTGTGTGTTTGCATGTGTGTGCGCGCGTGGGATTCTTTGATTTACGTACGCTCATACTGCAATTTTCTCACAAATTATTCTGACTGTGCCCAAGAGTGTTTGTGTGCTTCGTTGTCTCTTTGACTGTCTGTTTGTTTGTTAGTCTTACTGTCTGTCTGTCTGTTTGTTTGTCGGTGTTTGTGTCGATTTGTTAATCTATGGGTGCTTTTATGTGTTTGTTTGTTTGTGTGATTTTTGGTTCTTTCACGAGCGCTTGACACACATGTCATTTTGTGATCATAAAAATTAGTGGATGGACGGATGGAAAAAAAAGGGAGGAATAAAAGAGTGAAAGTTGTGTGAAGAAAATTTCGAGAATTTAAGATGAAAGAATTGTGCTAGTAGATTGTTGACAACGACAAAATGAATGATAACAACAGTAACAGCAAACGACAACAACAATAAATTTGTATTATATTGATATAGACATTGGTATAAAAGATAAATAACATCAGCCCGGGTCAAACAAAAACCTCGCAAGGTAAAGCATAAACTAAATTCAACAGCTGAAATTGAAGAAAAATATAAATTGAAAACAGAAAAAAAAACTTTTGACAACAACAACAACAACAACAACAACAACAAATCATCATCATCAACAATAACAACAAAAACAACATCAACAACAATATCAACATCGTCAGCGTCAACAACAACAACGACAACAACAACAACAATAACAACATAGCAGTAATGCAGCTAACAAACAAAATTTTCCTTGCAATCTTAAAAAGTAGAAGCAAGAATCAATTTTGTAACAACGCGTTTATCAAATACAAACATACATACATGCACACCATACATACATACAGGCATGCATACAGACACACATACATACATATATACACGCATACATACATACACACATACATACACATACATATATACATACACGCAACATACATACGTTCATACTACATACACACAGGTTTTTATATACATACACACACAAACACCCATACACACACATACAAACACCCATAAACACACATACAAACACCCATACAAACACATACAAACACCCATATACACACATACAAACACCCATACAAACACATACAAACACCCATACACACACACAAACACACATATTCAAACATACAAACACACAGACAACCGACAAGTTTCCTAGCGTTATATATATATTTGACGGATTTAAATGCATAGCATCACCATAAAATGCCGAAGCAAATAATAATAAAATGTACCAAACATAAACTGAAAAATTTTATATATATCGCTAGTAAAAATTGTCATCGTAAATATTACAATGTGCGAGTGGGTAGGTACCGTGTACAATGTACCCTTTACGTATGTAGGTGTTCACGTATATGTGTTGGTATGTGTTTATGAATGTATGTGTATGTATGTTCATCTATGTATGTTTGTATGTATGTGTGAATGGTATGTGCTTATGAATGTATGTGGATGAATGTATGTGTGTATGTCCAGATAAATATGTATGAATATGTTTATCTATGTATGTCTGTATGTATGCCTGTATGTTTGTATTTATGCTTGTATATGTGAGTGGATGAATTTATGAATATTTGATGCATTCATGTTCGTAAAAACCTCAAAATTGAAATGCCAGAGTTTACAAGATGACGTATAAATCTAAAACCTGAACATGAACTACATGGGAAACATAAAAGCACATATGCATGCAAACGAAAGATACAAAAATAAAATACAACAAAAGAAAAATACACTAAAATAATGACGTCATATGTATTTGCATATCTACGTCATTAACCAAAACGAGTTTACATTGTCTAACATACAAAAACATACATATAATACATAGGTACAACAAAAATTATACAAACATGCATACAAAAAATTATACAGAAGACAAAAAATAAAAGTATTTATAGAGCGAAACATGTATACCAAAGATATACAAAAATTGTATGTATGTGTAGCGTTGGAATATGTTGCATGGATGCATCATGAATGTATGTGTGTATCTATTTTTGTATATTTTAGTGTATATGTGCGTGCGTGCGTGTGTGTGTGGTGTGTGTGTGTATGTACATATGTACTTAGTTGTGTACCGAGTTTATATTAGCGCACATATATTACTTATGGCCCGATGAATATTTCAAACATTTTCGTTAAAACCAGTAACCACATTTAAAAGTGAAGCCAGGGCCACAGCAACAACGTCTGCTGCCACCTCTACTGGTATTACTACTTTTTTTACTACTACGACTTCAACTACTACTACTACTTTTACTGCAACTACTACTGTTCTACCCCAAGTGTAGCTGCTTCATCTACTACTAATATTACTTTTACGGCTACTACTGCTACTTCTACTACTACAGCGACTACCACTACTAGTAGTAGTAGTGGTACATTTACTACTAATACTGCTACAACCAGTTTTGTTCTTCAGCTGATGAACAAACATTCTGTCGACAGAGTTTTTCGATTTGTACTTTTTGCCATTTTTTTTCAAGTCATTTCATCCAAACATGTGCTGTTAATCTCAACAATAGCAGCAACTGGTTTTACTATTACTTTCAGTATTACTACTGCTGCAGTAGCTACTTCAATAGCTGCTGTCGTCTATGCTGCTACTACTACTACTATTACTACTACTACAATCTTTGCGTGCAACACTTTTTCATACTAGCTAAAAATCAATGCTGGTTGGTTTGGTTTGTATGCATGTATGATTGTATATTTTAGAAATAAAACATACACTCATTCGTACATACATATGTAAAAACAAATAAACATACAAACAGACAGACAGACAGACAAATAACCACACACATATACATTCTTGTATACATACAAACACACATAAAAGGGCATTTTATGATAAGGAAAGGCGACATGCTTAATGCTACGAATGTATGAATGAGTGTATGCATGTATGAAGAAGAAGACGATGATGAAAAGGATGATGATGATGACGACGATGATGATGATGACTGTGAGAATAGCGAGGATGATGAAGATGATGGTGATGAGAGAATAAATCCTATTCATCATTAACCGGAAATAACAATGAATGACGGAAGTGTTGTTGAATTTGCCGGAAGTACTACGTTAGAAAAAAAAAACCTAAATAGACAAATGAATGAAAATAATTTTATTAAATGAATAAATTACTTTTTTTATCTTCTTTTTATTCATTTAACCCATTCGTTCATTCATTCAACAACAACGACTACTACTACTACTACTACTACTACTACTACTACTACAATACTACTACCACCACTACTACTACTACCATTACTGCTGCTGCTACTACTACTACTACAATTACTACTGCTGCCTCTGCTGCTACTACTGTTACTACGCAAATTACTAGATGCATTAGGGAAACGTTTTTACATACTACTTAAGTAGGAAGAGAAATGATATCTTATTGAATTTAGCGGGAGACGAATGAGTGGAATTACATACAGCCATTAATTAAAGAGCTAAGAAGAGAAACTGAGAGAAAAAAGAATTTAAGTTAAAAATAACATCAATAACAACAACATCAACAACAACAACAACGTAATAATAATAACAACAGCAATAATAACAACAGTTTTCTTATTATTTTCAACATTTTGTAGAGGCTTTTTGCAAAAAGTAAGGAATAACGCACAGTGATACCATGTTTTTTGTACGTATTTTAAAAAATTTTTCTAAAAAAATGAACTGTCTAGAATTTTTTTTAGAAAAAAATTGTTTTTTTCTTCTTATGTGTTCTTACTAATTAACACTTTGTCAACTGCATAAATTTGAAAGGTTTGTTAAGTCGGATAGAATTTTCTAAATATATTTTATTTATATTTTTTGTTGTAGCAACAAATGAGACTGATGTTTAATCCGCAACAACAACAACGATATCAACAACAACAGCAGCAAATACAACTTCTAAAACATCAACAACAACAAAAACGGCAACAACATCAACAACAACAACAGCAGCAGCAGCAACAGCAGCAACAACAACGTCAAAAACACCAACAACATCAACAACCACAAATTAGAGCAAGAGTTGTACAACTGTCTTTTCATAGCATTAGCTTCGTCGCATTTCTTCTGTTCTATTCAATTTATTTCAACGGCTCTGCCACTTTTTGCATGCAAATCATCAGCCGCGGCACCACTAACAACAACAAATTTTTATCCAGAAACGTCTACAACAACAACAAATTTACCGGATATAACATCAACAGCAACAAAAACATCAACAACATCAACAACAACAACAACGTAAATAAAGAACCGCCTCGAGTCACATTCACTGTTCAAGAAGAAGAAACGACTGTCGGTACAATTATCGGTAAGTTATCCGACTACAAATTTGCCGAAAACATCACAAATGACAATTGGCGGTATTTGTTATTATCAGACGAAGTTGAATCGACACTATTCGAAGTGCACAGTACAACGGGGCACATCACAACGACCACGATAATCGACCGCGAGAACATTGCTAGGTGTCGCGGAAAGAAAAAATGCCGCATCCAACTGAACGTCGCCCTGCAAGGGCTGCCGTTGCATCAACATCACCTGCAACATCATCAACAGCAACAACATTTCTCGGCACGGCAACAACCCCTGTCTCTCCAACAAAACTTAGACTACCACCTCATAAAAGTCAACATACGGATACTTGACTCGAACGATAACAAACCCGAGTTTAGAGATAAAAAAATAACCATCTCTATAAACGAAGCTGCCTCCATTAACAGCCTCTACGTTCTACCGACCGCCACGGATAAGGACAGCCCTAGGTTCGGTATCATAAGATACGAGTTATTCGACAATACCGACACGTTCGGTTTGAAAACAATCAAAATTAAGCACCACGATGATATCGACTCGGTGGATGATGACGATGACGAGAACGCCAATGACAATTCTGAAATTGATGAAAATGAAATTGAAACCATAACCGAGGTTAAATTAGTTTTGAAAGAAAAACTCGATAGAGAATCGATAGCACAATATTTTTTAAGACTTCAAGCTATCGATCCTCCCCCGATAATTTCATCGTCGCATCCCTACTTTGAACCATCCCTATCCAGACAGTCTCCATTTGCATCGTCACAGACATCGAGTATGTTGTCAATTGAAATAATCGTACTTGATTCGAATGACAATCGACCGACTTTTATCGGCAGCCCTTTCAACAGGTTTGAAATAAACGTTGATGAAAACCGAAAACAAGGCAGCCAAATAACGAGGTTGGAAGCCAGAGATCCTGATCTAGGCGACAACGGTAGAGTCGGTTATTCGTTCTCTGGACAGACAACCCTACAACACGGAAACATCTTCAGTATCGATAATAAAACCGGTTCTATAACGGTTATCGGTGAACTGGACTACGAGCGAGTGACATCTCACCAACTCGTCGTCATCGCACACGATCATGGTTCAGACCCTCTGACATCAGAGGCCACGGTGCTCATCAACATCAATGATCTCAACGACAACGCTCCCACCATATCAATCCACACGCTGACTGGCTACATGGAAAAGAGCAAATCCCTGACAGGCTACACCGACAGCAAAGATCAGTTTTCAAGAATTGATGCTAGCGTAGAATCCGGACCGGCTGTGCGTGCAGAAGTGGCTGAAGACGCTGCGCTGAATACGTTTGTTGCTCACGTCCGCGTTCACGATGCAGATGCCGGTAAGAACGGCGAAACAAATTGCTCCATGTACCTACTTGACACTGCATCTTACCCAGATAAGAAATATCAAAAATCTGATCAACAGTCAAAGTTTTTTGCGCTTTCAACTCAAGTCTCGTTCGGTGAATTTCGAGTTGAAACTGTAAAAAGACTGGATCGAGAAACAACTGCCCACCACCATCTCATCATCAAATGCCAGGATTCGGGCAATCCATCGCGAATATCCTTCAAGAGGTTGATAATCTACATCACCGATGTCAACGACTGTCCGCCTCTCTTCAGCCAGCAGGTCTTCAGTGGATCGCTCGAGGAGAATGCCGAACCGGGTACGTCCATTTTGCGGTTGTCCGCCACCGATTCGGATATTGGCGACAACGGTCGATTCGAGTATAAATTTCTCGGTAATGTCGATTCCTTCTTTTACATCGATCAAAAAACCGGTGTTGTTTCTTCAAAGATACCGATAGATCGCGAGAAGTATACAAATTTTCGCTCAACGATCATCGCTGTCGATAGAGGTGAACCGAAACTAACCGGCTCTGCGTCCGTTGAGATACACATCAAGGACGTCAACGACGAGAAACCGATTTTCGATAACCGAGAGTATCGATTCTCCGTTTCCGAGAGCGGCAAAGAAGATGACGTCATCGGATATTTACGGGCCAAAGACAACGATTCCGATGCTTACAACGTTTTCAGGTTTGCTTTCCACACCTTTCCAATTTTGAACCATCGATACGGCGTGCATCTATTCGGTCAGCGATTCAACGCGAGAAATCCGAATCTAAACTATCACGCCGATCATTCGACGAATAGAAGCGGTTCTGAAATTTCAGAAGGAAGTCTGAGAAAGAACCTTACAGATAACGTTCAAGGGTATCCTTTACAAAAAGAACAACAACATCAACAACAACATCAACAACAACATCAGCAACAATACAATCAAAATTATCAGCTATATAACCTACAACAACATCAGCAGCAGCAAGGAAGTCAACCGTATCATCATCATTACCACCAACAACATCAACAACAACATCAACAACAACATCATCAACAACAACACATCAATTATCATCAACAACTAAAACAACAACAGCAACTTCAATCAACGAAGCACCACAACGACGAACACAACCCAATCAAACTCGATCCAATAACCGGTTTACTGAGCCTGAGATTCAGTCTCGATAGGGAACAACAAGAGATGTTCCGATTTATCGTCAAAGTATTTGATATAGCCAAACCGGTTTTCAGTGATACCGCAATTGTCATAGTGAAAATAATTGACATAAACGATAACAAACCCGAGTTTACATTTCCAACCCTAGACCAGATCGACTCAGCAGTCACAGTTGAAAACTACAACATATGTTTATCGCGCACCAACACAAATAATACCATCACTATATCAAGTCAGACACCGTCAGAGACGGTCATCGGTCGATTAAAAGCCAAAGATATTGACATTCTCGATAACGCATTTTTGAGATTCGAGATAGATTCGATTAGTTGTTTCGATTCGGTTGATCCGGATCTTACGCGGAATGAATCTCTTGTAACTTTATCTCAGGATGTTGTTCAGAACATCTATTCGCCATCGTCGTCGTCGTCAGGTGTAACTCCACCATCATTGTTGTTGTCAGCAACAACAACATCACAACCATCATCAACAATATCGCCACCATCAATATCATCACCACCATCATCAACACCATCATCATCATCCTCTTTGTCGCTCTTCTCACAACCACCACTGGTTCGAAACTCCTGTAATTTTACTTCCTTCCGCCTAAATCGAAACACCGGTCGGATATACATAACCACAAACGATACCAAGAACCGGCTCTACTCCACGTGCATCCGGATATCCGTATCGGTATCGGATTCCGGATCTCCGGTGCAGTCTTCCAACTCACTCCTGTACGTTCACATCAACCATTTGATGCCTTACAATCGGCTCTCGGCCGCCAAGACCAGCGACGATGACGACGATGATGAAGATTTTGATGACGTCATGGCAAATTCACGCAATCAAAATGGCGGAGGATTTCTATCGAAAACGCCCGGAAGTCTTTCCGCTTTTGGTTACCACAGCAATGGCTTTGACGATGACAGCGAGGATATTAGTAGAACCGGAAACAACAACTATTTCCGATCGGAACAGTTATGGATCACATGGGTGGCAGTCATTTCCGGTGTCTGTCTAGTCCTTGTTTTGTCGTCTTTCGTCGTTTATTTTATAGTCAGGCGGAAGGAAAAAGAAAGAAGAAACCGGAAGTACAACTGCAGAGTTGAAGCTCTGCGCATGCTCACAAATAATAACGTCAATAACAACAATAACAACAACAACAATAGTAATAATAATAACAACAATAACAAATTAATTAATAACGAGATTTTAACCAACAACAACAACAACAACAACAACGTCATCGTAACAAACAACAACATCATCAACAGCTCAAATAGTCAAGACAACAAAAACAACGCCAGCAACATCAACAACACTACGTCAACGGACGAAATCATGGCGACAGACGACAAAACAGAAGCGTCACCCGATAAGTCACGTGGTGCGAGTCAAACACGTGACACAAGTTTGTCACGTAACGCTAGTCCACAGGTCGATAAGCCGACGAGCCAGGTACTATTGGATGACGTCAGCCAGCAACATCAACAACAACATCAACAACAACAACTTCCACAACAACAACAACAACAACAACAACTTCCACAACAACATGTTTCACTCCTCTCAGTATTGTTGCCGTTAAGCCCAGAAGATTGCCACAAATTAGAAATGGTATTATTATTATTATTATTTAGTAGTAGTAGTAGTAGCAGCAGCAGCAGCAGTAGTAGTAGTAGTAGTAACTGCAGCAGCAGCAGTAGTAGCAGCGGTGGTAGTAGTAGTACGGTTTGATTGTATTACTTTTGCCGTCACTTTCAAAAAATTAAAACGCATCGTGCATTTAATCGAATAAACACACACGTACACACAAACAAACATGCAAACAAACAAACAAACATACATACAAACAAACATACATACAATCAAACAAACATACACACACAAAACAAATATACAAACGTATATGCTTGCACACACACACGTGCATGCACACAAACCGACACACGCATACATGCCATGTAAAAACTTCATGTCAACTGGCTTTTGTCCTATGTAAGTCGTCTGGTAAATTTTTAATCTAATTTCTTTTGAAGGAAACAAATAATAGTAATAATAAAACAACAATGATAACAATAATTATTATTATTATTATGAATAATAATAATAATTAAAAAAATCGGAGAACAAGAAAGGGGATAAATTTATGGATAGGACTGCCTTATAAACAGAAAATAGTTGAGAGATTTTTTGGCAGCAAACTAAAATAAATTGAAATTTTTTAAAAACTTTTACCGTTCTTGTTGTTATTTTAATTATTATTTAGTTGTTGTTGTTGTTGTTTCATATTATTATAATATGATCTAGCATTTATTTGGCGCAAAATATTTCGAATTAAATGTAAAAAAGAATACAAGGACGTAAGAAAGAACCTTTGTTCTAATCGAATGCAATTATTTTCTTATTTATTTAGCGCCCGATTCCGGTTGTATTTATTTGTTATCTTTGGTATGCAATGGCTTCCGTCATTGCTTCCGTCAATGGACGATCAATCGTCCAGATTTTAATTAATTCTGCGCATGCTTATTGAATTTGTCAGTTCTTTGGTTTTTGGTTTTTGTTTTTTTCTCTATCTACGTTTTGTTTTATCGTTTTTTGCTCTTATTTCACTAATTTTTTCTTTGTTAATTTTGATTCTGTTGTTTTTTATTTTTATCACAATTTGTTAACTATTATTATTATTACAATTTTTTCTATTTTTATTATCTTTTTTTCATTCTTTTTCCGGGTTTCTTTCTGTGTTTTTTTTTGTATATGTAGAATGATGAATTGATGCACTGGGTGCAATACGTGCGTGATGATAACGATGATGATGACGACGATGATGATGACGATGACGATGATGATAACGATGATGAGGATGATGATAATTATGACGATTATGATGAAATGGTGAAGACGATGACGACGAATAGAAAACACAACGGTTGTAAAATTGATGGCTGTGCAGCTGATAATAAAAATTGCAACAATAATAAAAAAAATAATAATATTAATAATAATAATAATAATGACAATGTTGAAGATAATGATGATGATGATGACGACGAAAATGACGTCAACATGTCACCATAACAACCTTCTTGACAAGACACGGTGTATAATTACGCTGACGTACTACTATTACTTCTACTACTGCTACTACTACTACTACTACTACTACTACTACTACTACTACTACTACTACTACTACTACTACCGAGGCTGCTGCTACTACTACTATTACTACTACTGCAGCTTTTATAACTACTACTACTAATAATAATAATAATTTTACTAGTACTATTACTCTTACTGCTACAACTACTGAACTAAGAAAAGATTAAAATAAAAACAAAAGAAAGGAAGAGAAGGAAGAGAAGTTAATATGGAGTAAGAAAGAGATAGAAAAATGAAAGAGAGATATAGAGAAAGAGAGAGAGAGAATAGGGAGTTTGAGAAAATTGAGATAACACAATTTCAAGCCCTGTTGTTTATCATCTTAAATTTCGATTGTCATTCAATCAACGTCATGCTTGTTATTAACGTCACCTCGTAATCACTGACCTCATCATCATCGTCACCATCATCATCACCATCGTCATCATTACCACCATCGTCATCATCATCACCGTCATCATCATCATCATCTATATCAATCATATCATCATCTTCATCACCACCAACATCGTCATCGTCGTCGTCGTCTTCATCGTCGCTTTTGTACTTTAGTTGATGTTAATTTATCATTTAGCTGACAAGAATAGGCGATCTACTGTTACACCACGTTTCTGCATCAGTTTGGAGAAAGAGAAAAATGTATTGTTATTCCCCGGGTTTTTTTGTGTTCGGATTTTATGTGTTTGTTTTGTTGTTTACAGAGTGGTGGTTTGTTTTCTATGCTATTTGTGCTTATGCTGTTGCTGTTGTTCAGTTGTTGTTGTTTTTGCTGCTGTTGTAGTTTTGTTCTTGTTGTTTATCGCTTTTGGTTTTATTGTTTGGCAAGCCATAAACCTCAGTTTAAAAGCCATCAGGCAGCTAATCTGAATAACTATGTCACTGGTTGCCAACCAACCAACCAACAATTAACCAATCAACAACCAACCAAACAATTATTCAACCCTTCAATCAATTAACCAGTCAACTAATCAGCCAACCCACAAACAATCAACCAACCAATCAATTAACTAAACAATCAACTAAATAACTATTCAACCTCACACTCAATCAACCAACCAACCAATTAATCAACCAATCAATCAATCAATTTTCAAACCGATTGATCATCAACTCATTCAACTAAATGGTCGTTATTGTATTTAACGTCATTGTTGTTGTTGTTGTTCACTGAATAATGACTGTTGCAGTTGTCGTCCTTTGTGGTATTGTTGTTGTTGTTGTGTTGTTGTTCCTGTAGTAGTAGTAGTAGTAGTAGTAGTAGTAGTAGTAGTAGTAGTAGTAGTAGTAGAAGTAGTAGTTATTGTTATTGTTGTTGTTGTAGTTGTTGTTGACGATGACGATGACGTCATTGCTGCTGCATTCCAAACCAAAGCTGGAAGTTGATTTATTCATTGAAAATGCCTCTCTAATTTATATTCCCTCCCTAACAACATTTTTGCTTCTTTGCTATTGTTTGATGTCATCATCATCATTATTATTATTGTTATTATTATTGTTATTATTATTGTTGTTATACTTGTTGTTGTTGTTATTATTCTTGTTATTGTTGTTATTATTACTGTTGTTGTTGTTGTTGTTGTTTGCTATTTTTGCTCTTGTAAATTTCACTTCCGGACGTTTATCAATTTTTATACTGGAATTTTTTCAAAATGATAAAACAAAAAGAAAGCAGCTATTAAAGGAGTTTTACACGCACGCACAAACACGTGCACATACACACACACGTGCACACACACGTGCACACACGCACACACATCTACATCTGTACATCCTCCGTCTGACTGACCACATACACTAAACTGTATACAAGAATATGGCAACGCAAACAAGAGACATTAAATCATGACTCTAGCGTCATCGTCATCATCACTACCACCATCATCATCATCATCATTAAAACTAACGACTATCATCATAACGACTGCACAATGGTCATCAGCGTCTCAGTTTTAAATCATCTTTCCATCATCATT